CAGGCAGAGGTAGCGAGAGAGAGAGAGAGAGAGACAGAAAGGTCTTCCTTTTCCATTGGTTCACCCCCCAAATGGCCGCTGCGGTCGGTGTGCTGCGGCCCCGAAGCCAGGAGCCAGGTGCTTCCTCCTGGTCTTCCATGGGGTGCAGGGCCCAAGCACTTGGACCATCCTCCACTGCACTCCTGGGCCACAGCAGAGAGCTGGATTGGAAGAGGAGCAACCGGGACAGAATCCGGCGCCCTGACTGGGATTAGAACCCAGTGTGCCGGCGCTGCAGGCAGAGGATTAGCCTAGTGAGCTGTGGCGCCAGCTTGAATTTTCTTAATGATTAAAGATGACTTTTGGAAGAAAATGGTGAGGATTTATAGTTTCATTTTTACATGGTCACAGGTGAGAATCAAAAGCGAATTTTACTCATAGATATCTCAAACAAGGTCAAAAGAAGCATTAAATAATCTTTCTAGGGGGGCCGGTGCCGCGGTGCACTAGGTTAATCCTCTGCCTGCGGCGCCAGCATCCCATATGGGTGCCGGTTCTAGTCCCGGTTGCTCCTCTTCCAGTCCAGCTCTCTGTTGTGGCCTGGGATAGCAGTGGAGGATGGCCCCTGCATCCGTATGGGAAACCAGGAAGAAGCACCTGGCTCCTGGCTTTGGATCGACGCAGCTCTGGTCATTGCAGCTATTTGGGGAGTGGACAAATGGAAGGAAGACCTTTCTCTCTGTCTCTCTCTCTCACTGTCTGTAACTCTACCTATCAGATAAATAAATAAAATCTTTAAAAAAACACCTTCATTTCTATAGAGCCATTGTCTTGGTTAGCTTACTTAAAATTTTTTTTTTTTTAAGATTTATTTCTTGGGCTGGCCTTGTGGCTCAGCAGGTTAAGCCACCTTAATGCTGGTATCCTATATGGATGCTGCTATCCACCCATGTGAGATAGCTGGATGAAGCTCCTGGCTCCTGGCTTTGGCCTGATCCAGACTTGGCTGTTGTGGGCATTTGGGGAGTGAAACAGCAGATGGAAGATCTCTGTCCCTCTGTCTCTTCCCCCTCTCTCTGTAACTCTGCCTTTGAAATATTTTGAAAATAGTTCACATTATTTCAAGTATTTGAAAGGCAAAGTGACAAAGAGAGAGGGAAAGACAGAGAGATCTTCTGTCCACAGGTTCATTCCTCAAATGGCTGGAATCTAAGCCAGGAGCCAGGAACTCCATCTTGGTGTCCATGTAGATGGCAGGGGCCCAAGCACATGGGCCATCTTCAGTTGCTTTCCCAGGTGCTTTAACAGGGAGCTGGATGGGAAGTGGAGCAGCTAGGACTCAAATCAGTGCTCTGATGTGGGATTCTAGCTTTGTAGGCAGCAGCTTAGCTCACTACACCACAATGCCCATTGTCTTGGTCAACTTTTAAAGTTACAGGGATTTTCCCTGTCAGGAAGTTTGCCTATCAATAACAACTCCTCAAACTTCTTCTTATTCTTCTCCTTTTTAAAAGATTTATTTATCTTACTTGAAAGGCAGAGTTAGAGACAGTGAGGAAGGGGGTGGGAGGGAGAGAGAGAGAGATCTTCCATCTACCAGTTCACTCTCCAAATGGCCTCATGGCTGGAGCTTTGACAGACCGCAGCCAGGAACCAGGAGCCTCCTCCAGGTCTCCCACGTGAGTGGCAGGGGCCCAAGCACTTGAGCCATATTGGGCTGCTTTCCCAGGCCACCAGGAGGGAGCTGGACTGGAAACAGAGCAGCTGGAACTTAAACCAGTGCCCATATGGGATGTTGGCATCGCAGGTGGCAGCTTTGCCCTCTAAGCCACAGCGCTGGCCCCTCCTCAAACTTTTAACAAATATTTTATTTGTCTTGCAGGAAGTAGGGATATATATATATATATGCATATATATATATGGAGAGTACAAGGGTACTTCAAAAAGTTCATGGAAACATGGAATTAAACGTATGCACTCTTTTTTATGCAGGAACAATTTTGAAATCTATGCACAGTGTTTTTTTTTAATAATAGGCATTTTCCACAAGCTATGAAAGAAAATCTTGTGTCAAAAAATTGGGGGCACTATAATAAAATCAGACTTTTATTCCATGAACTTTTAAAAGCAGTCTACCCCATTCATGTGCTTCTCCTTGCTGGGATGTTGGGAAGAGATAGGTTTTAGTTGGGCTTTTTTACCTTTATCTGTGGAGGCGAGAATGGCCTCACCCAAGAGGTGACCAGTGACTGCAGCCTCTCGGTTCTGGAAGAGGGGAAGCACCCACTCACCTGCTGACAGCAGCGGTCTACTCAGAATGAAATCTAGATTGGGCTCTCTTAGGTTAAACAAAACACAATCCGGCAAATAAACATGCTGGTCATAAATCAGGATTAGACCATGTTTTACATCCTCCAAAAAACGTACTCCAGAGTTCTCTATAATTCTGGCTCCTACTACAGCAGAAAATGGAAAGATCGGTGTTTTATAAAATGAAGATGCTGAAATCCTACTTCAGCAGGCTCCTACTGATGTAGTCATGTTTTTAGCTTGCAGTAAAAGAATTAAGGGGAGGCTAGGGCACTATGGTGCAACAGGTTAAGCTACCATCTGTAGCACCAGCATTCCATCTGGGCACTGGTTCAAGGCCTGGTTGCTTCACTTCTGATCCAGCTCCCTGCTAATGCGCCTTGGAAAGCAGTGAAAGATGGCCTCTGAACCCACGTGGGAGATCCAGAGGAAGTTCTTGGCTCCTGGCTTCCATGTGGCCCTGTCCTAGCTGTTGTGGCCATTTGAGGCAGTGAACTAGTGAACAGAAGAGCTCTCTCTCGCTCTCTCTCTTTAAAATAAATAAACCTTAAAAAAATTAGAGGGAATGTCCGGCTATGGCCTCTGTACTCTTAACATAGCCATATACTCCCTTGTTGCTAAAGCAGGGTTTTCCAGGAGCACAATTGTAGGTTAAATGTAAGGCAGAGAGGAAATTCATTGCTAGCTCTCAGTGGCAGAATGTTTATAGTTTCCCGGTGATGGAACAGATGGGGGATTCAGGACAAGCCACTATGGTTTCAGCAACCATACAAGGAAAGTAATGTCCCTTCAGCTACTTGTTGACTGATGAGGAGAAAACAACACTCAGCTACTACAAGAAGACACTGCCTTTGCTTTCTCTTCTTAAATATAATTCAAATTGCGAGTAGATCACAGATTCTCTCCTTTGAGCCAAGGTTCTTCACATTCAAAATGAAAGGGGAAATTCTGCACTCCCCCTCCCCCACAGCCCCATGTGTTTACGCTTGGTCATTGAAACAAAAAAGCTCATCCTTTGAGTTAGACAGATTCTGTCAATGTTCTACAAATAACCAGCCTGAACCCAAAATATGCATCACCGAGTCTAAATATGTTAGTACACACAGCTAAAATGTGTCATAAGTTTCTACTAACTGCTTCAGAAAATATCTTCCATTGTTCCACTTTATTTTTTGCTCTTTCCCTCAGTCCTTTTTTTTTTTTTTTTTTTTTTTCACCTGCAAGCTGATAACTCACAGAAAGTCCAAGGCTGAACTCTAAGTTAGATGAATAGCCTCACACCAGGGGACCGAGACTGCATTTCAGAGGACTGGATGACCTGACTGAGGCCCATGTTTCTGTGGCTCCCTCACCTGTAGATGGTGCTGTCTTCTTTGCTGGGGATGGACTTGAGGTCTGTGAGTTCCAGGAAGCGGTCGTGGAAATAGTGCAGGTGCAGGATGCACACCAGCAGGAAGGAGGTCGGGATGAAAATGCGGGTGAAGAGTTCAGCCACTGTGAACTGCTTTAAACCAAGGTCCTCAAGCCTGCGGCAGACAACAAAACAAAAAGCAGGAGCCTCTCTTGGGCGACGAAGACACAGCCCTTTCCTCTGTAGCTCCACCAGCCTTCTGCTCCCGTCACTGGTACCATTTATAGAATCCGCCCCCAGCCCCACCCTTCCATTCCAGGTAGGCTTTTGCTTCCACCAATCCGCTTAACTTGTGTTTACCGTGGCCAGAAACACTCGTCTGGGCCACTCCTCTCTCTCCCTTGAATTCAACCCCTATCCCTTCTTGAACCGGTCTGGATCATGCTTGCTTGCCTGCCTTCTTCCTCCATCCGCTGCTGGCTCCTCCCTTTCCTCTGCACTTCTGGGGACTGAAATATCCCAGATCACTCTCAGTGACCTCACCTACTCCCAGCGGTTTCCGCACCATCCTGACCCCGGGGACCCAAATGTGTACGCGGAGCCCAGCCGCCTCCTGTGGACACTCACACCCGACGCTCTACCGGAAACCTGCGGCTTCCCAAGTTACCCCGTGTTGAGGGTTTTCTGAACATGTTCTTGGTTTCCTTCGTCTTCTGATGAAAGCCATTCTCCTGCTCTGTGTGCCATCTCCTGCTGCTGTTTCTGTTCCCCCAAATATATGTTTTCTCAGTCAGTCAGGGGACCTTGCAAGACTTAAAAAAGTCCCATCAGGAATAAAAGGTGCACCAGCCCCTCTCCACCTGCAAGTCATATGCAGCTGGGTGCCTGGCCAAACCTTCCCAGCATTCTCTCTCCTGTCTTCCCAGCTTCCCGGTGACAGCTTTCTCTCCTTCACTTCTTCACATGTACCAGACCAAACTGCCCTGCCTCAGGGCCTTTGCATTTGCTGCTTTCTCTGCCTGGGATGCCCCCGCCTCCCTTTTCTTAAGACAAGATCTTTATCTATCAGGTAGGGTTTGGACAACACATCTTCCATGAAGCCTGCCCTGAGCGCTCCATTCATGAATGGATTTCCCCCTTACACACTCCCTGGTCTGTTGCCTGTTTCTCATGGTAACTGGGTTTTGACTTATGTCATGTACTATGCTAGAGTAGAAGTTCCACAGGGCTGAAGCAGTCTTATTTCCTATCCAGGAAAAGCGTTCCATAAAACAGTTGTTGAATAAACCCTACAGAGGTATTTGTTGAGCTGTGGGTGATTCTTTCCTTTGCAATGTTCCTCCTAGGCCCTGGAGTTATGGTCAGCTCAAGGCCAATTATGACTAGGTTTCCTCACTAATTGCATACGTTCACCAAAGCAAACCAGAACAGGAGCTGGCACTACCTGTTACAGACACAGGAAACACCATCCCATCCTGCTGCCTCTGTTGGCAAGTACGGTGACGTTGTTCTCAATGGCACTCACGACTCCTTAGAGTCTTAGCACCCAGCAACATAAAGGAAGAAAGGCTGCTGCTTTATCAGAGGGCACTTCCAAAAGTTTGAGGAAAATGGAATGAAAAGATAAATTCATTTTGGGGAAAAAAATTGAAATCCACATAGAGGCAGGGTCTTCAAAAAGTTCATGAAAAATGTGTATTATGCAAAAACTATGCATGGATTTCAAAAATTTTTGCAACAAATACGCTCCTCTTTTCATCCATTTTCCCATGAACTTTTAAAAGTAGCCTCACATGAGGCCATGCATCTACTTGTGAACTGGAGAACTGAGCTGTTGTTTGGAGTGCAGAAAGCATGACCAAGTACTCAACATGTGAGTTGCACATGCAAATGTCCTTTCATGAAAATGTGGCTGGATATTCATTTTTCACTTACTATTCATTAAGTACCTACTGTGTTCCCACTCAGGGCTAGGGAGTGGGAAATCAAAGATGAATGCATGATAAACTTTGTGTTCCAGGAATTTAAAAGGATTGCAAACACTCTGGTTTTCCAAAATCTTCTTTGACGATGTTTGTAGCCCTATGCATTTGACTCTTCAGCATCTTTGTCATTTCCATAACCCATTGAACACTCAAATTGCTTACTTTTCTTTTTTCAATCCAGTCATATTTTGCCACAGGCCTGGGAAGTTTTCAAACTGATATGTGTATATAAAGATGAGCACCAGCATAGTGTAAATAACCACCGACATCCAGAAATATTTCAGAATTTTCCTCCACCATTCATAGTGCACCTGCAAAGCAGATGTTGAACAATCATTGAGAAAACAACATTGACTGTGGATAAACTCACATTCTCTTGTTCTCTTCAACCCAGACGAGGTGTGATCTATAGACCTGTTTGAAAGTTAAGTCTCTTCCATCTTTTCCATGTTCTGTTCCTCAGAGAGTTGGGTGGATCTGGATTAGACCCAGCTACCTGGGCCTCTGTGCAAGTTGCTAAACTTCATGGAACTTTCCTTCTCTCTTCCAGAACTTTGCAAAGTTGTTATGAGGATGGAATTTATAGATACTATTAGAATTTATAGATAATATTAGATAATATAAACTGTAGAAAATATTTATGCAGTTTTCAAGAAGCTCATGAGAATGTGTATTTATGAAAAAACTATGCATGCATCTCAAGATTTTTGTGTGGAGAAAAACTTATCTTCAAATTCCACTTTTTAATTAACTTTTTGAAATCCTCTCCTATAACCCAGCAGGACTTGGTGTCTATGAGGCACCCAAGTGATGGTATGGTAGGTGCTGCCCTCATTGAGAGTTTTCTAGCCAAGAGAAAACTACATCTGTTTTGAAATGCAAAGAGGTAGCGTAGGAATAAAAACGTGAAATCACCACAGAGAGATCTCTCTTTATCGTACGCTTGTGGATATTCATCAGAGCATTTCTGTCTTGAATCTTAAAATGTGTTTGGAAATTCATTGATTTCCACTGGATCATTTTTCTCCACATAGAACGTTCTCTTGTTTATTGTAGTTGTGTTGTTTGTTTCCGAACATTCTATATTTATCATGCTTCTCTCACTGGGTCCCTTTCTACCATCAGTTAAAATAGAGTTTGTGGAGAGGGTAATCATTATAATATGATCTTTAATAAATTTGAATGCATGAATGACATCTCAAGGCAGTTGATACATTGTACACACATTGGTACACACAGTCACGAATACATACACACACAGCATAAATATGTAGAGTTCTCTGATCCCAAGGCCTAGAATACAAGGGGAATCCTTCACTATTTTAGATTATTTGGCCAGTGCTCTTTTTTTATTTTTATTTTTATTTTTGACAGGCAGAGTGGACAGTGAGAGAGGGAGACAGAGAGAAAGGTCTTCCTTTAACGTTGGTTCACCCTCCAATGGCCACTACGGCCGGCGCGCTGCACTGATCCGAAGCCAGGAGCCAGGTGCTTCTCCTGGTCTCCCATGCAGGTGCAGGGCCCAAGCACTTGGGCCATCCTCCACTGCACTCCCGGGCCACAGCAGAGAGCTGGACTGGAAGAGGGGCAACCAGGACAGAATCCGGTGCCCCAACCGGGACTAGAACCTGGAGTGCCAGCGCCGCAGGTGGAGGATTAGCCTATGGAGCCGCGGCACCAGCCAATAACAGTGCTCTTAAATTAATATTAAAAATGCAATTATTCAGATATCTTTATCTTAAATCAATAACTTACAAACAGGTCATGAATGCTTTTCTGAATTTTTAAGAACTAGAGTTTGAAAGTGACGAGAACGTTGAAGAGAATCATGTCCCACTTTTGCATTGTATCTGTCACTTTCTCTGATAGGCTCAAGAGATTCAAGTAATTATTATCTCTGCAAGGGTGGCTCGCAGGTACTGCCAGGACAGATGGGAGAGGCGACGGTCGCCTACCTGGTACAAGGCCACACAGAAGAGGAACAGCACCATGTAGATGATTTTGTACATCACAATCTTGCCCTCGAAGCTGACGAAGAAGAACATGCCCCCGCACACATAGATCCAGTACTTGATGAACATGGCCACCACCAGGTTGCCCAGCACCTTCATGATGTCCTGGTCGTCTTCCTCCTCCACCTCCTCCTCCTCCACCTCCTTCTTTCTCTCTGGCTTCTCCTCCTTTGCTGCCTCTTCCTCCTCCTTCCCTTGAGGCTCCCCTTCCACTGGAATGTCTTGAAGGTCCTCGTCTTCAAAACAGAAAACTGTGTCGTTACCCGGCCAGAACCACACTCCGACCATGCGTGATGCATGTGGGACATGGAAATAGGGACTTTATGAATTATTATTTGATTTGAATGATTTCATCCTGTCCTAATAAACAAGGACACATTCATAACTAATGCACGGTCAATTTTTATAATCTTCCTGAAAATATAGCTTAAAGGAAAATAAATTTGGTGCTATGTTTATGCTAATCTCTTTGTAACATCTTCCTTCCTTCTAATATATAATGATAGCTTTAGGTATGGTTGGCTCTAAAAAAATAAATAGGCACCAGTACAAAAATCACAATGAATATGTCACTTTCATGATTCTTGAGAATCCAAGTAGTACTTCATTGAATGGGGTTAATGCTAACAATCTTAACCAGGAAGTATGTCACTGTAAGGTCAAATATAATTTAATTGAAAAAATAATTGTAATTTAACCACATGTAAAGGAATTATTTGCACTGGAATTAAAAATCTATTTCATCTTGCTTTAAAATATGCTAATATATAAGGCCTGTCTCTGTGTTACCAAGGCTACCTAAAATTTGAATAATTTTTTCAAACAATCAATAGATTCACAGAGTGAGGGGGTGAAAATGAAGTGAAGGGGTCAGAGCAATTGTTGAACTTGAATGAATCATTCTTCCCCAAAGTCAACTGGTTAATTTAATCATTCTTTTTCAATACAGGAATCAAATTTACACAGGATAGACTTAAACTTTATAGTCAGGCTATTGTTCTTGAAAAATAACTCAATGGCTAAATCTATATAAGAAACTACACACAAACACACACACACACACATTAGTGGGTCTGTGTTGGTTTTCTCATGGTTACTATATAAATCTCTTAGAAGCTTTTAAAGATTTAGTTACTTTGAAAGGCAGTGTGGCAGAGAGAGGGAGGGAAAGATAGAGATAGAGACAGAGATAGAGACAGAGACAGAGACAGAGATAGAGCTAGAGATAGAGCTAGAGCTAGAGATGGTGACAGAGGGATCTTCCACCTGCTGGTTCACTCTCCAAATGGCTGTAATGGACAGTGTTGAGCCAGGCTGGAGCCAGGAACCCATAACTCCATCTGAGTCTCCCATCTGGGTGTTAGGGGCCCAAGAACTTGGGTCATCATCTACTGCTTTTCCCAGGCCCATTTATGCGGAGCTGGATTGGAAGCAGAGCAGTCAGGTCTCGAAAGCGCACTCAAATGGAATGTCAGCATCACAAGCAGTGGCTGAAGCTGCTAGGCCACAACTCAGGCCCTTGCATTAATCTTAAGGCTATCAGCCCAAGGGCCGGTACAGTGGCCTAGTGGGTAAAGCTGCTGCCTGCTGTGCTGGCATCCCATATGGGTGCCGGTTCGAGACCCGGCTGCTCCACTTCCGATACAACTCTCTCTGATGGCCTAGGAAAACAGTAGAAGATGGCCCAAGTCCTTGGGCCCCTTTACTCATGTGGGAGACCCAGAAGAATCTCCCAGCTCTTGGCTTCGGATCAGTGCATCTCTAGCTGTTGTGGCCATCTGGGGAGTGAATCAGCGAATGACAATTCTCTCTCTGTGTTTCTGCCTCTCCTCTCTCTGTGTAACTGTAACTTTCAGGTAAAATAAATAAATCTTTTAAAAAAAGATTTTAAAAAAAGGCTATCAGCTCAGCTTCTATAAAAATGTATAGCTGTTTTACAGAGACAATGCTACCTATCTTCACTAATAGTCTCATGATCAATTCTACAAACACTACACTTTTATTTATTGGCATATCCATGTGGTTAGTTAGGGAGCAAGTTGTTCTCATTTTACCTCTACAGTAAGTCTACAATAGAGACGATACTGTGAAGATACATCACAAAGTTCATGAGAATTATGTAAAATTTATGCATTTATTTCCAAAATTTTGGCACTAAAATAAACAACTTTTGGTTCCATTTTCCCATGAACTTTTTGAAGCACCCTTCTGAAAACAATCTTCTCTTCCTTTTTTGTTTTTCCTTACTTGGTGGTGCATTCCTTTTTAGAAAAGTAGACCGTTTGAATTGTTAAAAGAATTGAGTTAGTTTCTTGATTCCAATGCTCACTAAAAGTATGAGTTGAAAAAGAACTCAGTGGCTAAATCTTACACAGACACACACACACACAAACACATACTAGTGGGTCTGTGTGGTTTTCTCATGGCTAATATATCAATCTCTTAGAAGAGAAGAGAATGTTGTCACTCATCACCCTGAGCTCACGTGCAGGTGCCACTCGGGTCTCACCCTAAGCTTCCTGATGTATCCGGGGGCTCTTTCTCTATAACTGCACTGAGCTCCAAATCGCCAGTCACCCGCTCTTCACACGAATTTACCTTTCTCCTCATTTTCCTCACTTCCAATTTTGACTTCAGCTAAAAGGGCTTCCTTTTCTCGAAGGGCCTTTTGCTCTGTGAGGTGCTGCCTTAGCAGGAGCCAGAAAGTGATGGTGAAGAGAATCTGAAATCAGAGAGTCAGCACCACAGAATGAAGCATTTCAACCAACAGAACGCTTTCTTCAGGTTCCGGGGTGTGAACGTCACTGCTCCTATATCCCCTCTCTGGAGGGTGCCAGGAGCCAGCGGCCCTGAGGAGACCCTGGGAGATGGTGTTAGCTGGCCACTGGGCTCCCTCAAGGGGTCTGTCCTTGACCCACTGCCCCCCGAGTGTGACGTCACTACAATCATAAGAGCAAGATGTCCTTGTCCGACTCCCGTCTGCTTCTGCTGTGCTCCTTATTTTGACCACTTCTGCAGGTGAGGAAAAGGAAATGTCATCCCAGCAAACAGAACTCCTTCCTCCCATTAATCTATCAAAGCCGAGGGAAGGATAGTTCTATGTGCTCATACTTTATACTAACATTTTTTGAGGGCTACAAGAACAAAAAGAGCTTTTGATTTCTTTTCATCTCAAAGAGCTCCATTTTTCAGGGAATACAGTACCTGGTACACGGTAGGTTTTTGTTTCTGGTTTTTTTTTTTTTTTGGTAATAGCTTTATTGATGTATAATTCACACAACACTACACTTCATAATTTAAAGTGTCTAATTCAATGTGTTTAGTATGTTCACAGATTTGTACAAACTCACTGCAAATCAATTTTAAACTATTTTCATCATCCCAAAAAGATGACCTAAAGAAGCACCTCCTGTTCTTTCCATCCCAGTCCTAGCCCACTATTAATTTACTTTTTGTCCCTATAGATTGGCTTAATTTCATGCAAATAAAATCATATGCGTTCATTGGTAAGTGGCTTATTTGTAAAAGTTATGCTCCTCTTTTATGCTTCTTCAGAACATAGTATTTTTCAGGTTCATCTATGTTTTAGCAACTAAGGTACTTCATTTCTTTTCATTATTAAATAATATGCCATCGAATGGACATACAATACATTTTTAATCCATTCATTAGTTGATTGCCTATGACGGGAAATGATGCTATAAGGCTTCCTAGGCAAGCATTTGTGTGAATGTATGTTTTCAATTCTCCTGGACTTAGAAACTTAGGACCAGAATTGCTGGTCTTAGGGTAGTTCTTTATTTAGCATTCTGAGGAATTGACAACATTTGAGGAATTGATAAAAAAAAAAAAAAAACTGTTTTGCAAAGTTGCTGCACCATTGTACATTCCCACCGGCAGTGAGTGACAGTTCCAGCTCCTCCACATTCTCGTGGCATCTTCTGTTCTCTGCCTCTGTGGGTGACAGCCACCCTAGAGCATGTGCAGTGATGATTCATTGTGGTTCCTAGCAGGCTTTTGATAAATATTTGCCGAAGCAATGAAGAAGATAAATAGGCAAATGAATAGGTTCATTTTCATTTTGAGTAATTGCCCATTTCACTACCCATAAATATCCATTTATCATTTACTTTCAACATAACTCCACGCCAAGAATTTCTGGTAAACACGCTGAAGACCTAATGAAATCCAGAACCAGAGTGAGTGCATGCCCTTTTGAAAGACTGGTGCTAAAATGCTGAAAGTCATTGTGAATTGACTGCAAATTAGGAAAGAAATGTGTGTCTCTACGGCATATTCAGAGGGGTTAGGAGGACCTGGGGGCCGATGGACTGCCTTCCTAGGACACACTGAATCACAAGCCAGCTTTTGAAAACTGTTCCATGGAGCCAAGGAGGAGATTCTCCAGGACTCAACAATGCTGCTCCCTGGGGACACGCAAACCTGTGAGGACCAAGGGCAGAGTGTCACACAGACTCATTCAGCACTCTGTGAAAGAGGGAGTTAATTACAGGATTTCACAAACACCCTTGTGATAAGACTTTGTGAGCCTCAAGTTTGATTGTTCCTGTCCATGGCAAAACTTTGCCCTTTTTTTTCTCCTTGTTTTGTTCTGGGGTGCAATAAAATACAAGTGTAGCATCCCAGAATGACTTTAAAAACATAGGTAACAGGCCGGCGCTGCGGCTCAATAGGCTAATCCTCCACCTTGTGGCGCCGGCACACCGGGTTCTAGTCCCGGTTGGGGCACCGGATTCTGTCCTGGTTGCCCCCCTTGCAGGCCAGCTCTCTGCTGTGGCCAGGGAGTGCAGTGGAGGATGGCCCAAGTGCTTGGGCCCTGCACCCCATGGGAGACCAGGAGAAGCACCTGGCTCCTGCCATCGGATCAGCGCAGTGTGCTGGCCGCAGTGCGCTGGCCGCGGCGGCCATTGGAGGGTGAACCAACGGCAAAGGAAGACCTTTCTCTCTGTCTCTCTCTCTCTCTGTCCACTCTGCCTGTCAAAAAAAAAAAAAAAATAGGTAACAGTTTATTTCCCAAATAATGTTTCCCTCCCAATCAAATATTAATTTTAGATTAGACAAGGGGTCCTGGCACACATTTCTAGAACTCTCGCTGGTACTCTCAGTCAGCTTGAAATAGCTTTTTTTTTTTTATTTTTTTTTATTTTTGACAGGCAGAGTGGACAGTGAGAGAGAGAGACAGAGAGAAAGGTCTTCCTTTGCCGTTGGTTCACCCTCCAATGGCCGCCGCTGCAGCCGGCGCACCGCGCTGATCCGATGGCAGGAGCCAGGAGCCAGGTGCTTTTCCTGGTCTCCCATGGGGTGCAGGGCCCAAGCACCTGGGCCATCCTCCACTGCACTCCCTGGCCATAGCAGAGAGCTGGCCTGGAAGAGGGGCAACCGGGACAGAATCCGGCGCCCTGACCGGGACTAGAACCCGGTGTGCCGGCGCCGCAAGGTGGAGGATTAGCCTATTGAGCCACAGCGCCGGCCCTGAAATAGCTTTTACACAGTCCAACGAAGAAGATTTTGAATGGCCTTTAGCTTCTGAATTTCTCTGATAGAAAAGACTAACAACAGTTGTGTGTGAGTGTGTGTGCGTGTGTGCCTGTGTTTAGGGGGAAAGAAGGAGAGAGAATCAATGTAAGAGTGTCACCCAAAGGTGACTTGGGAGTGTGATAAGGATTTGCAGTCAGGGGTGTGATTAAGGAGTGAAAGCAGGGCTGGGAGAATGGGATGAAGGAAGGAAGGAAGGAATAGAATTTCCTGGGTCTATGAATACAGGGAATCACGGTCTGATCTCTAAATGCCATTGGCATTCACCTGTTAGTGTTTTTTTTTCCTTCATCCCAAGAGTCCTTCATCAAAAAACCTCTTACAAAAATGCGTCCTTGGTGTAGTTTACACATTGCCTCATTTTTCTCTTGATTATCTTGGCTGTGGGGAGGGGAGGTGATGACCTTTAAAGAGGGGGACTACTCCCAGGACAGGTGAAGGTAAATGGGTGTCATTTCAGGGCTGCTACTTTTCTACTTTGTTTAGAGGACAAATTTTCAAGACTCATTCAATGCACATAGGATTGCTTTTAGTGTCTGAAAACAAAGGTGTCAGTAGCCAGGGGATGTGTGTTTAACCACTTTGTTAACAGGGCAGGTAAAGTGGGGATACCTAAGTTTCTCAAATAAAAACCAGTAACATGTACCATGAAAATGAACGAGAAATGAAACAATGATGCACTTTGTCACCACCTAAGAAGGCATATCATGTAATTGAGAGGGAAAAAAGCAAGTATCATACTTAATTTTTGCTGTTAAGCATGTTTTCTGGGATAGAATTGGAAAGAAAAGTCATTAAAATCAATGATTATTTATAACAGCAATGTACTAAGCATTTTTTTAGAAATTCACTATCTATCAAAGAAAATCTTCCAATATCTTGACATCGTCTATGTCGTATTCCTACGTCCACATCTAATTTTGAATATACAATTTATAATTTTCTTTGATTAGAAAGCATTGACGTTTTAAGTAAAAACCAAAGCAAAGTGGAATTATGTTCATGTTTAAATTATAGAGATTGCTAAGTAAAATAAATTGCCATAAATATGTATTTTTTGAGAAGCACAGACTAAGTGGAGGTCATTTTTATAAGGTTTTGCTTGATAGCAATTATTATGAGTAGCGTGGTTTTGCTTCATTATTTTGTTTTCTGGTTTTCCTATTCATTTACCTTTGAAGCAAGTTCTCCTGGATCTTTCTTTTCTAAAAATCCTGGAACCTTCTTAATTTCTGGAAGTTCAAAACTCCATATATACTGCAATACCAGCAGTAGATTTCCATACACAACCATGAAAGGAGAGCTGATCATGGCATATTTTCTCCTGTTGCGAATCATCCAGAGAGTGCAGGACCAAATGAGCAGCACAAAAGTCAACCAGCTGTGATAGGTGATGCTCCAAGCCTCAGGGAGAGAAGGAAAGAAAACGATCATGGTCAGTACAATGCAGTGTCCCACTCTGTGAAGCCAAATTTATATAGAACTTAAAAAAAAATGGTCAACAGTATGTAAAGGGGGAGGAGGGAGGAAAGAGCTGTGGAGGGAATTGGAGAGCTCCTGGCCCAAGGCATAGGAAAGAAAGAGGGGAACCGATCAGGGAGAATGGTGTTGCCTTTGACCTTCCTCTAGGGAACAGGGTCGAAGGTCAAGGACTCATCATTCCTAGTCCTTCTCCTTTTCACTTCAAATCTCTCCATCTTTATCCTCTCTTTTCCCCCAGTAGCTTGGAGTCAGCGGATATTTATGGATGATGGCAGAGGTTTTGTTTTTTTTTTTTGTTTGTTTTTTTTTTTTTTGACAGGCAGAGTGGACAGAGAGAGAGAGAGACAGAGAGAAAGGTCTTCCTTTGCCGTTGGTTCACCCTCCAATGGCCGCCGTGGCCAGCGCGCTGCGGCCAGCGCACCGTGCTGATCCGATGGCAGGAGCCAGGTACTTCTCCTGGTCTCCCATGGGGTGCAGGGCCCAAGCACTTGGGCCATCCTCCACTGCACTCCCTGGCCACAGCAGAGAGCTGGCCTGGAAGAGGGGCAACCGGAACAGAATCCGGTGCCCCGACCGGGACTAGAACCCGGTGTGCCGGCGCCGTAAGGTGGAGGCTTAGCCTAGTGAGCCACGGCGCCGGCCCTATGGCAGAGGTTTTTGAAAAAATTATTTATTTTAATGGCAGAGTGATGTGTATCTTCTACCTGCTGGTTTACTCCCCAGATGTTATCCAAGAGACAGCTTACCCTGCTGCACAAAACACCTTCCTTTAACTTATACTTCTAAAGTTCCACTTTCCACACACGTCCTGAAGATCCAGGAGGACAATACACAACAGAAATCAGAAAACTCACACGAGGAAATTGCACAGTAGGCTCCACTTATCCCATAATAAAGCCCAGTTAACAAGGGACAGCCCGGCTTCAGTCCTCTAAGGGTAGGACTAACACGTGTCCCACCCCTGGGACATGTGATACGCTCTCTTCCATTCACATTAAACTTTCAAAGAACCAGAGCTGTATTTCAAATGGCAGTGACCAGAACCATCTGTAAATCAGGCTCACAAATACTAACTCAGGAAAACTGTTAACTGTTAACCACAATCTCTGCTAACTTTTTTTTTTTTTTTTTGGTGAAAATAAGAACATTTTCTAGATATGTCTGGAACTAACTGAAGTCCATTGCACTCCTGAATATTGTGAATTATCAAGAGTTACTTCTAAAGTCCCAAATGTTCTACAAGCCTGTTTTGCATCCGGAAAGCAAACAAGAATTAAGACAAATGCAGTCAGCAAAAGACAGATATTTCCTCTCGGCAATGTTCAAATTTACCCTAAAGCACTGTTAGTGTTTTAAACTGATGAATTATTTAAGATGTTGGTTAATGGGGCTGGCATTGTGGCTCAGTGAGTTAAGCCACTGCCTGTGACACCAGCATCCCATATCAGAGTGCTGATTTGAACACAAGCTGCTCTGCTTTCAACCCAACTCCCTGCAGACGAGCCTGGGAAGGTAGCAGAAGATGGTCCAAGTCCTTGGGCCCCTGCACCCATGTGTGAGACTTGGTTGGAGCTCCATGCTCCTGGCTTTGGCCTGGCCCAGCCCCAGCTATTTAGGCTTTTTAAGGAGTAAAACAGCAGAGGGAAAATCTCTCCCTGTCTCTGTGTCTCCCTCTATCTCTGCTTCTCTGCTGGTCAAAGAAATAAAATATCTTGTAAAAGTTGGTTCAAATACATGGTAAATATAAACTTGAGATTAAAATAGCTTTTATTAAAATTGTTTCATTAAAATAGTTCTTGGAAGTAGCAGTTGGTAAAGGTTCGGTAACATTGAAGGGGTTTGTATTAAATGACACACTCAAGGGTTTTACACTAAATAATGCATTGTATGCAGCATGAAATGCAGATGTAACTTTACCAAACTTATCACGTGATCCAGGAGAATAATTTTCACAAATGTGATTTCCCCCTACACTGTTCTTGTATGGGAGGATGAGGATGAGAGAGAAAAGCTAGCTATAAGAATTTGTGAAAAATGTCTTTCTCTTTAACGCCCAGTCACGCGTGCCTTCTGCTTGCCATCATTAAGAGCTAAATCTGCATTACTGTTTCCTGCACTGGGCTTCAGAGTAGTCTGATGGGTTAGTCGATTTGTGCTTTGTATTTTTTAATGAACATATCAGTCATCTTCACAGCCTTGGCTCTCGGAAGACATCCGCTTCTGTCTGTGGCTGATAAGTCTGCTGGGAGAGGGAATGTCCATGGTGGACTGGTGCTTTTCATATGGTACTATTGTGGCTGCCTTGAAACAGTGGGAGGGCACCAAGCAAGGTCAAAGCTTTCATGAAGGGCTGTATTGTTTTCACAAGGGCTTGTGATTGAGTAACACATTGTGTGTTCAAAAGAAATGGAGAATTCCCTTTCAGTAAAGACAAGACTGAATTTATCTGAGTGATAGGAGAAAAAAAGAACTAACTGTATACTTTGTGAGTTCAGGATGAGAATGGTAACTTGTATTTGTAATATATTCAATATATAACAGTCAGAGATTTGCTGTAATTTAAAGTCGAGGTTGATATAAGGGAAGTGTCAAAAAGCAAGGATAGATCACAGAATTACTTTCGTATAGAGAACAGATCAGTGGGGTGGGCATTTGGCAGAACAGTGAAGTCACCACTTGGGAGACCTGTATCCCTTATCGCAGTAGCTGGTTTGAGTCCCTGGCTCCTCTGCTTCCAATTTAGCTTCCTACTAATGTGCACTCTGGGAGGCGGCAGATGATGACTCAAGTAGTTGGGTCCTTGCCACCCACATGGGAGATCCAGATTGAGTTCCTGGCTCCTGGCTTTGGCCTGGCTCTTGTGGGAATTTGGAGGAGAGAGTGAACCAGTAGATGGAAGATCTCACTCTGTCTATCTCTCTGTCTCTCTTTCTCTGACTCTGCCTTTCAAGTAAAATGAAAATAAATCAATTAAAACTTTAAAAAATTAAAATTTCTAGGAGCTTTTCCTCACTGCATCTCTGCAGTATTCTTAATAGAAACTATCGTTGAGTTACACACAGGTTCACCTGGGAAGCAGCTTGACTGAGTGCCAGGGAAATTGTTGTGTTTTTCCCTGGAGTCACAGGACATTTTCATTTTGTTGTCTTGAAACATGCCCAGGGGGGTCTCACCATTAAACTCAGAATTGGAAGGAGTTGTGTCATAGACTGTTAGGATTTTCAAAGCTAAATCAGGTTTCCCAAGAAAACATGTTTTTAGGAAAGAGTGAGCTTAGCATTTCTTTTTTGTCTTCTATCTCTCTGTCAAAGGAGTAATGTTTGAAGGTGTAAGGCTGGAGGTGGAGTAAGTATGAGCCTGCCCACACTAAGAGCTCACAATTGGAGGCTCTTGGGAACCCTGGCTGCTTGATTCTGTAGTTGGTAAGCACTGTCACAGATAAGATGGAAGAGTGTCACCCAAATGCAAAGAAAGATATGACTGAAAGGTCAGCACTGTAGCATAGTGCACTAGGCAGCACCAGCATACCATATGGAGCTCCACTTCCAATCCAGCTCCTTCATAACACATCTGGGAAGCAACAGATGACAACCGAAGTGCTTAGGTTCCTGCCACCTATGTGGGAGACCAGGATTAGGTTCCTGGCTCTTGTTTCTAGTATGGACCAGCCCTAGCCATTGCAGCCTTTTGGGAAGCAAATCAGTGGATGGAAGTTCTCTTTCTCTCTCTCTGTCCTTCCCTTTCTGCCACTCTGCCTTTCAAACAAACAAATAAATTTTTAAAAAGATGTGAATGCGGCTGTCACTTCCCAAAAGAAATCAAAGCAAGCTGTGTTAGCCTTGAATACCTTCAACACCTTTTAGAAAACATATCCAATATGTCCTTGGATACTCTGCTGTGGTCAGCTAATTTGAGACAAAGGCATTCATATTTAAAAGGAGGATCAGTGGCATTGAAGAGGACAGGGTTTTCCAATCTGTAGTGTAAAATCCCATGAAAAATTAAAATAACCAACCATTCTCTGCCAAGGCACTGCAGAGAAACGGAAATCCTTACGCTGCCGGTGCAATGATGGTAAAGTCTGGAGCCAGCAGGGCTGTCGGTACTATTTCTGCAGTACCCTGAAGTGCCAATCATACGTACCATCATCGCGATGAGGGCACAGATGTAACTTTGCTTCATAATAAACTGGAACACTGAGACCATGGCATGAACTTTCACACTTCTTTTTTCCTCGTGGCTCCTTTCCTCTTCAAATTCTTCTTTCTCATCCTCTTCTTCCTCTTTCTTTTCTAGATGGGAAAATACTTTCATAACTATTGATATAAAATAGGTGAAATTTGTAGAGACGGCCCAAGCAGTGGAGCACATGTATAATTTTGGCATAACCTCTAATTATTCACTTCAGAAGTTATTCCCAATTAGTCAAACTCTTAGGATTCAAAGCAATGCATTTTCTTCCATCTGGTCAATGTAACAAGATTGAGACTCAGAAATCAAGAGATGACAACTTCATTTGAGAAGGCTGTCTAAGCCAGGGGCCCCACCCCCTCATAATCATGTCCCTGTGCAATCCTCTCCTCTTGCATGTGGATAGGATCCTGGACATACTTCTAACAGATAGAACACTCCAGAAGGGATGGAATGTCACTTCCAAGATCCAGTGAGTAAAGACTGTGGCTTTCACTTTGGGCACCTTCTCTCAACCCATCACACACACATTCTGAAAGAAGCCAGGGCCTTGTAGTGAACAGTCCAATGGAGAGACCTAGGAGGCAGGGAACAGAAGCCTCTGAGCCAGTGGTCAGCAGGAGTCTGAGGTTGCTAGTCGCTTTGTAAGTGGGCTCAGAAGGAGGTGTTGCCCCAGGCCAGCCTTCAGATGACACAGCAGCCACTGCCAGCAACATGAGTTAAGACTTAACTTCAGTTAAGACTGAATTGTGAACCAATACACCTAGCCACCTTGAGCCTAAGGAACAAGCCCAGTCACACCCAGGTTCCTATCCCAGAGGGACTGTATGGCACCAAGTGTTGTTCTAAGTCACCAAGTAAAATATCTTTTCTGTCTCTTTTGTTTAAATTTGCTATAGCAGCAAGTTTCCTAGCACCAACAACAGGCACTGAAAACTCAGTGACATGCGTGCCACCCTGGGCAGGCTGCCAAGTCAGGATGTGATGTGAATTTCCCTGGGCCACTGTCTTTTTTCATAAACTTAGGGTTTCTATGGGAAAGCTTGAAGATCATCAACAGTGATGGAAACACTGAAGCTGATGACTATGGAGTCACCAGCATGCTAGTTCTCTGGTCGTGGCATTTTTGTGTATGGTTGACTCAGTATCTATGAGTTGTCTTCAACCAAGCAAGAAGTGAGAATTTCTGGAAAAAAATACTGCACCTGCAGTGAACATGAATGAACTTTTTTCATGTCATTATTTCCTAAATTATGTAGCATCACAATGATTTATACAATCTTTCACGTTGTATTAGGTGTTATAAGTAACCTAGAGATGATTTAAAGTCTATGGGAGGTTAAATATAAACACTACATCATTTTATGTAAGGGACTTGGTGCCCTGGAACTTTGGTATCTAAGGGAATGGGGAGTGGAACCAACCCCTTTGGACCAATCCCTGGATATAGATTTAATATGTAAAATGATCACCTTCCCAGATCTTATTTTATGTCTGAAAGTTCAACTTATGTTTTGAGTATGTTTGGGTGGCCCTTGTCAGCAGTTAAATTCTATGTGTTTGTCCTCAGGTGAAAAATGTGTACTAGAAGTATGTCTTGGCTGTGACCCAAACATCTTGAATGTTAGCAGTTACAGATGCCAGCTCTCGAGCCCTGCCCTGTGTGATTCTGGTGCCCACACTCGGGACCACACATGGAAGGCACTGTATTTCCTTCAGCTTTTCAGGTTAAGACTGAATTTCAAACCAATACACATTACACATGCAGGTAAGATACAGAAATGTGTAACCAGCTGGTGGAGCCTGATGTTCTGTGAAGCCTTACAGGTGCCACTTGTGTGTGTGTGTGTGTGTGTGTGTGTATAGGGGACTGACCTTGATGTGCTCTTAAAGGAGAGTGTTGGATAATGTGACTAACCAGCTGTACCCGTTAGGGGCAGATGGAGGAAGTACTGATAAAGAATTATGAAGAACAGACCATCGGCATAAGCCTGATAAAGTATTATGCAAAAAGGGTCTAATGTTCTACTAATGCAAATTGGATGGCTGCTGGCATTCACTGAGCCTGGATAATGTCTGATAATGCTCATTTTAATTTCACATAAAGAGAGATAAAAATTCACTATAATTCTGTTGCCACTTTGCTACCTGCATGCAAGCTGTACACATTCCGCCCCACCCACACCCCCTACACTAAGCTAATTCTGCCTTTATGAATTGGTGACTGGTCATGCTGGCAGGGGAAATGACAACAAAGATGCAGTCAACAGCTGTCTTGTAGGGATAAGGGGCTAGTGTTGCCAGATGTTCACACTCTTCATGAGATTGCAGAAATGTCCATTTCTAGATCCGAGGTGTAACTTTTAAAATGTTAGTTACCATTAAAAGTACTTTTTAAATGCTGTGCAGACAACAAAGTTTGAGGCATCACAATACCTGATTTCGACATACTACAGGACAGTTATAGTCAAAACAGCCTAGTACAGGCAAAAAACAGACATGTAGACCAATGGAACAGAATAGAAACTCCAGAAATCAGTCCCGGCATCTACAATGAACTATTCTTTGACAAAGGAGGTAAAATCAATCCCTGGAGCAAGGACAGTCTCTTCAATAAATGGTGCTGGGGAAACTGATCCCTGCATGTAGAAGTATGAAACAAGATCCATATCTTACACCTTACACAAAAATCCAGTCAAATGGATCAAAGACCTAAATTTATGACCCAATACATCAAATTACTAGAGAGCATCAGGGAAACTCTGCAAGACATCAGCATAGGCAAAGACTTCTTAGAAAAGATTCCAGAAGCACAGGCAATCAAAGCCAAAATTGACAAATGGGATTATACCAAGTTGAGAAGTTTCTGCACTGCAAAGGAAACATTCAGCAAAGTGAAGAAGCAACTAACAGAATGGGAAAAAATATTTGTAAGCTATGCAACTTATAAAGGGTTAACATCCAGAATCTAAAACAAGCTCAATAAATTCAACAACAAAACAAACAATTCAGTTAAGAAATGGGCAAAGGACTTGAACAGGCATTTTTTGAGAAGAAATTCAAATGACCAACAGACACTTGAAAAAATGATCAGAATCACTAGCCATCAGATAAATGCAAATCAAAACCCCAATGAGGTTTCACCTCACTCCAGTTAGAATAGCTCTCATCTGGAAACCAACAAACCACAAATGCTGGTGAGGTTGTGGGAGAAAAGGTACCCTAATCCACTATTGGTGAAAAGTAAACTGGTGCAGACATAACTGTGGAAGACAGTATGGAGATATCACAGAAAATTGAAAATAGATATACCACATGACCCAGCAACCCCTCTCCAGGGAATTTACCCCAACAAAATGAAATCAGCAAATGAAGGAGTTATCTATAACCTCATGTTTATTGCAGCTCAATTTATAATAGCTATGATATGGAATCAACCCAGATGTGGATCAACTGGTGATTGGCTAAAGAAATTATGGTATATTTACATTATGGAATACTATTCAGTGGTAAAAATAAATGAAAAAAAAATGAAATCCAGTCATTTGCAATAAAAAGGATGCAATTGGGAATCATTATACTTCGTGAAAAAAGCCAGTCCCCAAAAGAAAAATACCATATGTTTTCCCTGATCTGAGGTAACTAATAGAGTACCTAAAACGTAGTATATTGGAGTGAAATTGACATTTCAAGTTTTGATGATTGTTTACAACCCAAGTCTTGATGATTGAGGAACAGTGTTTTTTTCTTCATGCTATTTGCTGAACTCTTTACTTAATGTAGGATTAATCTTATGTGTATAAAGCAAACTGAAAACAGATCTTTGTAAAAATTAAGTGTGGGAATAGGAGAGAGAGGAGGAAAAAGAGTGAGACGATGAGTGGGAGGAAGGGTAGAGTGGGAAGTATCACTGTGTTCCTAAATCTGTATATATGAAATACATGAAATTGGTATACCTTAAATAAAATTAAAAAAAAAAGAAATGGCAAAAAAAAAAAAAAAACAAACTAAAGAAAGGAACATCAATCACATTGAGCTTATAAGTGAGATGGAAACACCACCCCAGGAAGAGTTACCTGAGGATTCACCGGATGGCTCCCAGCGATATTGGGGTGTTGAGTATAGGTCAGCCTTGGCAGGGCCGTTCTCCACAGGCAGGCTGGGGTGGATGGTGTGGTAGTCCACGGGGTTGCCATTCACGGTCACCAGCAGGCCCTGTGGGGCAATGTGGGGAAAGAATTGTCATGGTGGGGAGACCTTCTCCTCTCCTTACTCTATGCACAACTAGGCAGTGAAGAGCTGATTGGAAGCTGAACACTTTCATCAATCATCCCATTAGTTTAGCAAGTCTCACCTCCACGGAATGATCCAGAGTGTTTGTAATAAAGTATGTATCCAATCTTGCCGCACCTTTGTTCTGAATCATACACTAAACTCTCTGTTCTCAGTATAAAGCACAAACTTGTCCAAAAATGCCAGTGAGGCTTTCATAAGAGGGTCTGATGTTTTTAGTCCCAGCTCCCACCACTGTCTACCTTTGAGACATCACTCCAGCTCTGGTGGTCTCCAGCACTTTCTTGGGCCTGGTCTATTCCTGTCTAGCCCTGTGGCCCACACTTCTCTCTACAGGACTAATACAAGCACCCTTCGGGTCTCAGGTGAAAGTCACCTTCTGGGGATCCCTCACTTACTCCAGGCGTGAAATTCTCTTACTGAATCATCAAGTGTCATTGCCTGGTTTTCTCCCTCTATCTCTTGGCATTACATTTTTTGAAATAAGTATGTGAATACCCACAGTTCAGTACACATGAGACTTCCTATTTAAATTCTGTCATGGGCATGGAGTTACAGAACAAAAGTATTTTTAAGAAGTCCCTCAGAATCTTCTAAATTTTAAACATATTTCCCTTGATTATATTCAATCTCATGTTGGCGTTCTAACAGCAATAAGCCACATATAATTTCTGCACAAAAATAACCGAAAATCTTATGGAAATTTTATAGATCCATACACTGTACTGGATCTAATGATCTAATTTCATTTCTGTCACTTTTACATCACTTACATAAGCAGATATGATAATTCTAAGGATATACTAACATCAGATGGCTTGTAGTCATCTTGGGTCATGGATAAAAGCTGCAAAAAGCAATGCAGGACAGCATGTTAATAAGTAAGCTAGAAGCATTGTGTTTACACATATCTATTAAGTTTTACTGTAACACATACCAATTCTCTTTAGTCAGGTGGATGCTAGTATGTTAAAACAGCCATGCAAGATATAAAGGACATTGCTGACTAATGCAAAATTTTCCAGGTTTGATATTAACTGTTAATTATAACAGCAAATAAGTGACCCTAAACCACATGACTATAAAAAAAAATGCTTTTCCAGTGTTTTATTTAATACATAAGCTACCCTGGTTTTTATACTCCAAGAATCCTTTGAAACATCTGCAGAATTTTAAAAGTATTTGCTTTTCAAGAAAGAAGAGATTCTTAATAAAGAGAAATTGTACTGTGTTTTGATATTATTTTAAAATTTTCATACTGTCAACAATAAAATAATTATTGTATGATGATAATTTTTAAGTGTATCAGTGTCAGGTTGTTTTGAATTCTCCCAAATAGTAACTAGCACGGCAAATAAAAATGATTTTGCAACAATTTTTGGGTCAAGATTCATTTACATTCTTAAAAGTCACAGAAGGATCCAAAGCTCTTTTATTTATGTATTACCATACTAGAAATTAAAATCAAGGCATGTAACATATGCCTTGGTTAACATAAACCTTAACATAAATAAATGATGCAAGCACATATATTTTCAAGAAGAAACACCCCTAAACTAGTGAAATGCAAAGAGTATCATTGTTTTGCACATTTGCACATATTTTTACTGTCTGGCTTAAAAGAAGACAACTGCATTCTGTATCTGTTTCTGCATTCAGTTTGCTGCGATATGTTGTTCTGGTTGAAGTGTCAAGAAAATCTGGCTTCCCTGAGGTATGCAATTGGAAGTGGAAGGAATATGCTAATAGTCTATCCAGATAACAGTGCATACTACGAAACTCAACCAATCGAAGTTTCGCGAAGGTTGGCTGAAATGAGGACTCTGAAACCACATCAAAGAGCTTTCCATACTCTGTGTCACATACACCCACTAATGCGTCCTTCACCTCCTATGGATCTTCTGCCCACATTCTGCACTATCAGGCAGTGGAGATTTGGAAGTGTTTGGGTCAGTGAGTTTTACAGCCCTACCAAATATAGTCCATTTCACTTCAAAATACTTTAACAAGCATGCTTGTTAGCACTATTCTGACTTCATCAGAATGTCTCAAAATATTGGGAAGTTTTCAAGTTCTCCAGGGTGGACACAAATTTCCAAAATTCTAATTTTTACTCAAATGCTCAAACTCCTTTGGTGGCAACAAATGCTGTCCGTTGTTTGCCTTAGAGTGATGGCCTCACTTCATTTATTTTCTAGTAATTGTCTGACAAATGCCCGGATCTGAATAGCTAAAATTTGTCCATTGCTGCTATTCCAGGTAAAAGTGATCTTCCATGGAAACATGGCAAGGACCCACGGTGCCTACAATGAGTCCCCACTCAGCACTGGGACAGTTATCATATTCCAAGTCCTGCATTTTGTCACATAGAGACAAAGAAGTGCACTCCAGTTTGAGAGTTAAGAAAATCAACACAGTCATGCATTACTTAACCACAGGGATACCATCCAAGAATTGTGTTGCTTGACAATTTTGTCCCTTATCTACACACCTGGGCTGTCTGGTACAGCCTATTACCTTCAGGCTAGAAGCCAATACAGCATGCTACTGTACTAAATACTGTAGGTAACTGTAACATAATGGTATTTGTGTGTCTAAGCACAGAAAGGGTAAAGTAAAAAAGCTATAACGGACAGAACAAATGGTACCCCTGTATAAGGCACTTAGTGTGAATGGAGCTTGCAGGACTGGAAGTGGCTTTGGGTGGGTGAGTGAATGAGTGAGTGGTGAGTGAATGTGAGGATCTAGGGCATTGCTCTACACTGCTGTAGACCTTATCAATACTGAACACTCAGTCTACACTAAATTCATCTGGAAAGTTTTCCCTTTCTTCAAAATCAGCAGTTTTATTTACCCCAGCATCACCACAAACACGTGAGTAATGTGCTGTGTTATGTGATGACAGCAATGGCGTCATAGGAATTTTTTAGCCTGGTTCTCCTGTTCATGTGTGCGACCTGGTATTGACATATTTGCAGCATGACTGTAACTCTTTCTGGCTCGTGAAGGGTTTTCTTAAGCAAAACCAGCCTTTGGTTTTATTTCTGTGTGTGATTGGCAGTGAAGGACTCTGTGCACAATCACCACCGTGCAGCTGGTGCCTCAGCCTTGGCTGGTGCACAGGCCTTTGCTTTGTCCTATCAGGCAAAGATCTTCAGTATTAACACAGACACAGTTGTGACCTTGGGGACACGGCCACAGGCTCTCTAGAGATCCACAGGCCTCACTTTGAAAATGGCTGCCCTATCCTGCTGACAGATACACAGTTTATCCTGAAACCCGGGTCCACGAGAGGCAGACAAGAGTCCCTGAAAACCCTCAGGAGGCGCAGGGTGCCATCGCTGCTCCATGATGCAATGTGGTCACTCCCTTCGGCAGCTGAGTTGTGGGTCACCCTCTTCCAGCACATGATAGCAACTCTGAGAATAGGACTCTGTGTCCTGCCGCCAAATAAACCAGAAAATCCACTCCTCAGTTGTTCACCTGGGAGAATCTACTCAGTTCTCCTCCATGCTGGGAGACAAAACATCGACCCCATGCAAGAACAGTCAGTCACCATTGCACTGAGTTGAGTTCAACATGGCCAAAAAAATGATCAAAATGTTATATATTTTATATATGTTATATATATAAATATATGAACTGTGTATTATGGAGTACATATAACTCAGATGATATCTGACTATACTCATTTTTCTGGTCAATACACACAGTTGCCTAAACTAATAAGAGAATTTTCATCACATTAATACACTGGGTCCTGTCTGAGCGGGTATGGAAATTACTACAATGACCAACTATGCAACAGGGTAAATTACCAGTGTACCTGAAGAAGTTCATGGGCAAATGGAATTAAAAGATTAGTTTATTTCAGTGCAAAACACAGTGTTTTCATGATACACATCTGACATGAACCTTTTGAAGACCCTTGGTGTTGTATGCCATGCATTTCAACACTGAAACATTCACCTCCCCCATGCCAACAGATTGCTTTTTTGTTTTTTTTGCTTGAAACACAGAATTGTCCTTCAAAGATTAAGATTTTTTTTTAAGGCTTACAAGACTTGTATGGGAAGCAATGGAACATGAGTGGTGTTATAGGGTTTGATGAGACCACGTCATTTTCTTCAGAAGCCCAGTGTTCCCTCTGTGGAAACAGCTCTCTGGGACTAACCCTTCTAAATCAGGCTTTCTATGTGCTATGAGCAACCCATGTGCACGGATGTTTGATAAGGCTCATATTCAATCACACAGTACAAAATTGGAAGAATAAATTAAGAAATAGAGATCCTTTCTCCATGGCTTACTTTTCTCTCATCGGTTGGGTAATGGGTGGCGTACCACAGGCTCCGCCTCCTCTCAGCCGTGATCTGGATGGGGCTACAGGCCAGGGCTCTGTCCTCTTCCTTGGTCTTGTCCTCCTGCACCTGGAATCAGAACAATAGGAACAGCTCTGCTCCCAAAACAGTTGCCCAGGCAGCCTGGGCAGCCAGGAGGAAGCTTTGTGGCTCTGGCTCTAGGATTAGTTTTCAAAAACAGGGTACACAATAGATGAGCTTTCATTAAGACATTTTTTTTAAATGGCAAAAATGCTGCCCTGTGATCGATAAACATATTTATATGCAGCCTCTGTGGTACTGGCATCCTATATGGCTGCCAGTTTGTGTCCTGGCTGCTCTACTTCCAATCCAGCTCTTTGCTATGGCCTGGGAAAGCAGTAGAAGATGGCATAAGTGCTAGGGTCCCTGCACCTGCGTGGGAGACCTGGAGGAAGCTCCTGGCTCCTGTCTTCAGATTGGCCCAGCTCCCGCCATTGCGGCCATTTGGTGAATGAACTAGTGGATAGAAGACCTTTCTCTCTGTCTCTCCCTCTAATTGTCTATAACTCCAGCTCTCAAATAAATAAATGAAAATTTCTCTCTCTCTCTTTTTTAAAGATTCATTTATTTATTTGAAAGAGTTACACAAAGAGAGAAGGAGAGTCAGAGAGAGAGAGAGAGTTCTTCCATCCACTGGTTCACTCCCTAACTGGCGGCAACGGCTGGAGCTGTGCTAACCCGCCAGGAGCCAGGAGCTTCTTCTGGGTCTTCCCACGTGGGTACAGGGGCCCAAGGAATTGGGCCATCTTCCACTGCTTTCCCAGGCCATAGAAGAGGGCTAGATGGGAAGATGAGCAGTCAGGACTCGAACCGTCGTCTATATGGGATGCCGGTGCAGCAGGTGGCGACTTTACCTGCTATGCCACAACGCTGGCCCTGAAAATCTCTTTTTTAAAAAAGAAAAGTTACCTGATGCCTACTGAATCCCACACATTACAGAACATGCTGATGTTCTTAAATTGCCACAGCTTCCCAAAGGCCCTAGGAAGCAGCTCTGCAAATGGCACTTAGAGAAAGAGATTTCAAAAAAGCACACAGCTAACTGTAAGCCAGCCATTGGCAATCTTTAATTAAAATGATCTTTATTAAAGCCACCAGTATCTAGAGCCTATTAAGTGCATAAGCAAGAGCCTATCAAGTGCATAAAACAAGTGCCTGTCTAATGAGACATTGATACTGGTATTAAAATAACACTAAAATTAAAATCCTTCACAAAACCCCGCAGACATTATAATTTTTGATACTGCTGTTGTCTCATGGTCTATAGCTTTGATTGCCTTTCCTGTTCTCTCCTTGCCTGCCCTGTTCCCCAGATAGCCCCACCACATTGGCAAGAAGGGGCCATAACACAACCTTCACTGTATCACTGTGGATTGGAGAGACCCCTGGAGATATAATGGAGAAAATTCTAGGTACTGGGACCTGTAGATAATTTAATGTCTTAAACTAGTGTTTAGCATGTGTAAGACAGTGTTCAGAAATAGTTCTCATAGTAACAGGGGACTTTAAAAAGTTCATGGAAAATTGAATTAAAAGCTAAGGCACGTTGTCTCCAAACTTCTTGAAGCACCTGCTTATCTGTTAATCCCATATGTATACACATTTATTTGTGTTTGCACAATATACATATTCACATATATGTTTGCAGAGGAAGTAAGTACAGTGAACACTTTAGTTGATTTCATTGGCTTAGTCAAATTTTAAAAGAGAACTGAAGAAAAACTAAGACAATTTGATTGGATTTCCTTTCAAGCCTATAACACACTATGCACTATGTTGGTAATGGTTGTCATCAATGGTCCAAACACCTTTAACTTGCCTCTTTCCTTTGCCAGTGAACTATGTAATAGCAGAGCTCCTGACATTCTGGAGAAATAAAAGTAGACTGATGCTTTGTGCCACTGAAAGGGAAAAGACAGAAGCCACACAAGCTTTGGTATCCCCTACCACACACACAAGTGCTGTTTCCTTTGTAGCATTCCTATAAGGACACACTAGCCTTTGGTTGCACCAGAAGGGGAAGGGGAGTGTCTTAATCCCCACCCCTTGCAACGGGATGCCCAGAAGTGTACAGGTGTGGCCAAGGGTTGGGCCCTTCTTATAGCTCCCTCAGAGGCTAGGAGAGCTGGAAGAAATATGGAGAACTTCAGTCACCATGCAGAAGAAGACCCTGGCTTTGTTGTCAAGCATGGCTGTGAGTCCAATTTGTACCATGCAGTAAGGAAGGGAAACTGTATTATTTTAGAAAATGTTTACCTAACCTTATTTTGTTCATCTGTTCATATGGGCATAATACCTCTTCATTGGAGTTATTTAGCAGCTCAAGTGAGATAACTTATGCAGACAGCCGTCACATGGCCTGCGTGCTTGGTCTGCACTCAGTTAACAATGACTTCTTGCTTCTCCCCAGCCTCATTCTTAGCAGCACAGGGATATGCTGGCAGAGGGAGTTAGAGGATTCATAGCTACTTAATACTCTCTGCAGAATCAGAACACTGCAACCAGCACACCCGAGTCACACTGGAATACAGGACTGGTGAGTCAGTGGGCGTGGGAATGAACCATTTCCCCTGGCGACTCCAGGTTACTTTGCAGACACGATCAGGAAACCTTTCCATTCTTACCAGGGGTTCTTGTAGCCAGATCCGGATAAGAGTTGCCAGCGTGTAATACATCACCAGCAGGAGGATGGGGTTGGCGTGGTGGTACCATGACAACTCTGGGTTTACTATGATCTTCCAAGTACTGGAACAGTCTGTTTGAATGACTGATTTGATACCAAACAACCTGTTTCAAAACAAAGAAAGATGCTTTCAAAATCCAATAAACTTTATGCTACCAATACAAAATGAAAATATTTTGTTTTCAATACATTCATGAACCATTCCTAGGATAATCAGTTCTATTCAATACATTTCAACAACACTTCTATATATATGTATCTCTATATCTTTATTAAATGTGGATAAAATATAGTTCATGCACATATTTCAAAATATTCCTGAAAAGTGGAACTAAAAGATAATTTATCTTGGTGAAAAATATTTTTTAACTCCATGCACAGTTTTTTCACAGCACACATTTTACATAACTTTTTAAAGATTCCCTCATACTATGATATACATATTTAAATTATATGTGTGTGTACATATAAAATTCTCAGGCAATCTTATATCAGTTCAAAGCTCTATGTAATATTAAAACTTTATCTATTAGAAATTTACATTTAAATTGCCAATCAGTGCTATTAAAACTATGCATTATTGAAATGCCAAGTATGTGGTAACATATTACTAAGTCCAGTGAAATGAACAAATATTTTGTTTTTGGCTGGATTTAGCATTAGCTATTCAGTCAGTGTTGATATTATTGGATAAATATTGAAATTGGACATAGTTCTAAGCTGAGCTATGAAAGTCATATATATTATATAGTAGAATTTCTGGAAGATATATTTCTGTCAAATTGCATTTTTGGGCAATTTGATTTTTTCAAAGCTTTGCAATTAATCATTTACTTTGAAAGAGAATTTTATGGGCTTATTAAATTTTGAGATTGTTTATTTTTTATAATGATTTCTACTGTCTCATCAGAATGTTTCTGATTATATCATGGGAAAATAAGTAAAATATGATTTGTATAGAAATTCATTTTGTTTTCCTAAGAAAAGATGACTAACTGAATAAAACTTTTGCATGTGAAGTGGAATGCAACTTTTTTATGGTTTGCATCTTTTAAATTTTTATCTTATATTTTTCATTCAGTTATAAAATCTTTAAGATTTCATACCCTTCATTTGTAAATGCTCAGATCTATAGCTGTTTCTTTTCATAATGCAAGCATTAGTGTGTTTTCTAAATAGAATTAGAGCATTCTATTTAATAAACTAAATAGAAATAAACTAAAAATAAATTTCCTTTTTTTTTTCAGAAAAAAAGTAAGTCATACTAGAATTCACTCTTGTTAATGGTGTTTCTTGCTTAAGTCCAGACATTTTTTATGGTTACATTTGAAAGAAAGATTCCTGAGCACAAAAGAGTTACACCCTGCTTAGAATGGTAGAATTTTCTGAAAAGTATTTGCAGCCCTAAATTGGAATGCAGATTTCTTGTACAAGGTATATAGAATGGAAAGCTTTTGGATTTTCAATCAAATAATCTGTATAATCTTTTGGGTTAACCTACACAGTAACTGTTAGGTACCATATCCCCACATCTGGCACATTCACTAGGAATGATCTCATCGATCATCAAGTTTAAAAATACCTGTTTTGCCCCATCAGAAATTTAATAGTAACTTTCTGCAGCTGTGTGTAGACTTCATATCATATCAACACTTCATACCTTACCACTGATATCATAACCTATTCCAAACTGATTTTGTACAACTCTATATAAATACAGAAGAATCAAACTTGCATATTTGTACTATCAGTGTGAAGATTTTACCAAAATGGATAGAAGCTATAGAATGGCAAATGGACTTTTTTTTCTAACAAGTTATGTTGGTACTGTAAGACCTAAGATTTCTCTCTTTCTTTCTCTAACAGACTAGATTTTGTAGAAAGGACTCACATATGAGATGAGAAATTCATACTTGAAGTTTCACATCCTTTCTGGCATTGCAATTGTAAGATTTTATACAGTATCTAAACTCTTCTTTAATTTACTTGGTCTTTCAATTTTCCAGATTGGATTTGGACTTTGATAATACAAAGAAGACTGATCTCATTGTGCCTGGCCTCCAGAAACTCATTCACAGTACAACAATGCCATTGGCTAGCTTGGTGAGAATGAGGCAGGGTGAATCCCTCTTTTTGTGGGTGTTGGGAATGGGTGCTGGGAAAAGTGAGAAGAAGAATGTCCAGTGTGGACTTCATTAGTCCAACCTGACTAGATGAGTAGATGAAGTGCAAGAGATATCCAGAAGAATTGGTGAGTTCTTGTCAGATTGTGGGGTTGAGCTGGGGGAGAGGTCAGAGATGGGGCATAACGACAGCACAGACTACTTCAATATTGATCCATCACTGGATATTTATAAACTTCTTTCTTTCTTGGTGATACCCACAGAAATATTAGTTTGTTTACTATGGTCCTTGTCTATAAAAATTCACTTAATAAAAATAGAGTTGGATTTGACAACATTAGCTAGCAAATATATGGAAAAAAATTTGTCTATACTGAACACATATGGACTTTTTTTTTTTTTTTTGACAGGCAGAGTGGACAGTGAGAGAGAAAGACAGAGAGAAAGGTCTTCCTTTGCCATTGGTTCACCCTCCAATGGCCGCCGCGGCCAGCGCGCTGCAGCCAGCACACCGCGCTGATCCGATGGCAGGAGCCAGGTGCTTCTCCTGGTCTCCCATGGGGTGCAGGGCCCAAGCACTTGGGTCATCCTCCACTGCACTCCCTGGCCACAGCAGAGAGCTGGCCTGGAAGAGGGGCAACCGGGACAGAATCCGGCGCCCCGATCGGGACTAGAACCCAGTGTGCCAGTGCCGAAAGGCGGAGGATTAGCCCAGTGAGCCACGGCGCTGGCCTCACATATGGACTTTTATCCTTGTCATTGTTCCCTAAACAGTAAGGTATAACAATAATTTACATAGCATATACAAGATTTTAGATATTATAAATAATCTAGAGATTATTAACAGTACCATATATAAAAAACACATGTAGATTATGTGCAAATACTATACCATTTCACATGAGGGGCATGAGTACTTTGGTATCCTAAAGAGAACATGAAACCAATATCCCAAAGATGGCAGGACAACTGTTTCCATCATTTTAAAATTTCTCAGTCACTAAAATCACCTGAAAATGACTACTACTACCTTAAGTCTCTCCATAGAACTATCTCTTGACTTGAGAAGTATATGATGAAAAAGCAATGGAATAGTGTATTTCCATTTATTGCTTACTTGAAAACAAGAAGATAAAGCTTTTCTCTTCCACGAATGTGGCATATCCCCTTTATTTTTGGTCTGAGACCAAGTTTTTTTTTTTGACAATATGTATGGGTATATTTGTTAAGTGACTCACTATCTCTGAGTGCTCACTTCCTAATGAAGACAACAGAAGGTGTGCATGTGTGTGTGTGCATGTATGTGTATATGTGTATGTAAACATATGGACAAGAAAAGGACGTTTTTGAGAGGATCCTATGCCAAATACTTAAGGCCTCACAAACTCTTCTGTTTGCCCAAGAGTGGCTGAAGACAGGTCCCAGGTGACCAACACTTTCCAATGGAGACAGATCCAACCTTTGAGGCACACACACTTGACCTATCTTGCCATGCTCTCTATTTCACAGTCAACATTCCCATCTGCAGAAGAGATCACTTCTCTTCTTAGACAACTACAGTGCTAAGAGTGGTCTCCTTGTCTCTAGTTTCTTTCTAGTCCACACTGTGACAGTTGCCAGGTATCTTCAGAAACCTCAAGTGAAGCTTGCTGCCTTCCTCTTCTTCTACAACCTGGAGAACAACCCAAGTCCTAGCAAAGCGTCCCCAAGGCAACTTCTGGTCTTCCTCCTGCCAGATATGTAAATTTGAGTTCCACTGGATTATTGCAGCTTACCATAAAGTCTTAGTGTCTTTGGTCTTGCCAGGGTTCTTTCCAGTAGTTCTAACTTTTCTGGGGGTGCCAAATCAAGAATGAAGGGTGTATGTTTTACCCAATCCTTGGCAATTTGGATCCAAGGAGCAGACCAGACACGGCTTCCCAGATGTTTTGACCTCTCCCAGGACAACTCTATCGCCTTCCCCGCCTCAACCTCATCTGCATCTCTAAATATATTTGGGGCTCAAAAAGCTCATGGAAAAAACATATTATGAAAAATACATGTGTAGATCTCAAAAAGTTTTTGCTCCAAAATAAAATTATATTTTAGTTTAATTTCTTGTGAATTTTTGAAGTACCCCAGTATAATTATGTATTCCCAGACAGCTGGTTTCCTGGGTGAGTCCTGCAATATGTTGGGATGGTTAGCATGCTTAGAAGGAATACATTAATATGCCAAAGGAAACTTCAGAAAGTTCATGAAAAATGGAATTAAAACATCAGAATATTTAATTCTGAAATCTGTGCATAGTCTTATAACATGGATTTTCCACAAACTTTCTACAGACTCTTGAATGCCTGCTGTGACATATTCTTGGAGCTCTTAAACTGATGACAATTCATTTATGCTATAAACATCTGTTCTTTTTCATTCTTTCTTTCAGTTTGGATATTCTTTACGGTTAATATAAACCAATGCTCTAAAACTAATTCCCACTCATCTGCATTCAAATATGTCTTCTTCCTATCTTGCTGTTAGAAATTTTGGACAGGAGCAGGCTTTGTGGTGCAGTTGGTAAAGCCACCGCCTGTGATGCCGGCATCCCATATAGCCACAAATTTGAGTCTTGGCTGCTCTACTTCCATTCCAGCTCCCTGCCAATGGCCTGGGTAAAGCAGCAGAAGATGGACCACTTGGGTCCCTGCCACCTAAGTGGGAGACCCAGATGAAGCTCTTGGCTACTGGCTTTAGCCTGGCCCAGTGCTGGCTGTTGCAGTCATTTGGGGAGTGTACTAGCTCACACACACACACACTCTCTCTCTCTTTCTCTCCCTCTTTCAATTCCAACTTTCAAAATAAATAAAAATAAATAAATCTTAAAAAAAGATATTCTGGACATTGTTAAGGCCTAATTTCAAGGTCACCATGATTTATGATTTTCTCTAATTGCAATCAATTTGCCTTTAACCCCCCACCCCACCCCCAAAATTGCATTTGTTGCT